ATTTTTTCGTCATAATTAAGAAGTCCTCGATCTACTAGATATGCTATTACGATTGAACTCTAAAAAAATAAATAAATAAAATAAAAAAAAAATTATAAATAAGCAAAAGTAAGATGAATTTAATTATGCTTAAAAAAAAAAAAGAGACTATTTATACCATAACTTTAGTGGAAGAAAAAACTAATTGCAAAGTATCCTCATCATATTTACGCTTTGCCTCACGATCAGCATATCCACCTTGTAAATCCACCACTAGCTTGCCATTATAGTAAGCTGCAACACTTGCTCCAACTTCACCACCATTTTCAAAATTTTTTATAAATGCTTTTTTTGCATCAATAAATTCTGGTGCTACATATCCTTGCACTTTCATATCAAGACATCCTATTCTTAATAATCGACATGGTAGTGGCATAAAAGGACCAAAAGTTAAAAATTTATAGATTATTATGGAAATAATGAAAATCAATACACTGATAGGAAAAAATTTTGATGTAGTGCTAGTAGAGGGATATGCTTTGAATTCTTTTTTACGAGATGTGAATTTTTCGTTTTCCATCGTTATAATTATTTTATCCTTATTTTGTGAAAAAGTGTTTCATTTTATATAAAAATTTTCTGAACTAGGGACAATGAAAAATTACGGATATTATTTTGTGAAAAAGTGTTTCATTTTATATAAAAATTTTCTGAACTAGGGAAATGAAAAATTACGGATATTATTAGATAAGATTTTCAATTTTATCCAGAATCCTGCAAAGGTTTTCAAAACCATACTGTTATACAAAGGATGGAAGATTATCCAAATTCGAATTTTATTAAAATTTCGTTATAAATTATAAAGATAATAAAAGACAATAAATTAGGATCAACCATTTAGAATATCGACATTAAAAATAAATACAACCTTTCAGAATATATTAAAATTAAAAAGATCTAGAGTCAATTCTCCGTATGTGCATTCTTTATAAGTACACAATACTTGACCAAATTTACATTCGCATTATATACTATTACACAGGCTTAGAGGTGCGATCCGTAAACTATTAGTTAATATAAATAAACTGTATATAATTTATTGTAATTTTAAAATAAACTACAGTTTATTTATAGCTGAATCTCATATAGGCGTTCAATACATATCGGTGTGCCGATTAGTGTTTCGGGCGAAATTATATTCCAAATCCGAAATATTTCGGCCAGAGGAATTTTAATTTCTCCCTATAAGTCCGAAATCCTCCAATTTGATCTGCAAATTCAGGAAACACAAGTGCCGATAGCTCTATAGGTGCCTTATGGCTTTTTGATTTACCTATAGAGCTATCGGCATACAGATATATATTGAACGCCGATTTGTATCTTAAAGTCTCCTATTTGCGCCAAATATCTGATTCAAAATCAGTTTCATATCGGGGTTACGTTCTACCTTTGTGATATCGGCCTACTTTCCTATATCTTACTGTAACAATGCTGCAGATCTATGGCAGACTATGTTCGGACATAAATGGGCTAGGTGCTGACGAAATTGACAAAAAAAAAAAAAAAAGAGCTTCAGAAATCATGTAAATCTTATAACAAATCATAAGAAAATGCAAACTTTAAGGAGCTATATTGCAGCACCGGTGCTGCTCACTTCACCGAAAGTTCTTAGCCGACATCAGATAGGGTTAGGATTAGCGTTTTATTAGTTGCAGGTATATATTTTTAGAAAATTGTCACTTGGTGTGATGCCGGCTAAGTGAACTTTCGGTGAAATGATTGTCGGCAGATCCTACTAACATAACTATTTTTGTGTCTTAAGTAAAAAAATGATCCTATTCTAAATTGATATCTTTTGAAAAAGTTGTCAATTTCGTCCCTGTGCTTTCGTGATAATGATAGCGAAGAATTTCTGAGATATTATTCCCTATTGATCATAATTTCAATCGATAACGTCTATATTTTATTCGAATTCTTTAAAATTCTCCAAGAATCGAAAAATCTACTAGAATCGGCGATTTTACTGATCTGCAAAGGTCTCACAGTGGTCCCACCTTTCATGATAGATGGATAACCAAATAATTTGATAAACTAGGAATCGGAAACCGATACAAATCCGGAGCAAAAATACCGTTTCTGATGGATCGTCCGTACTGAATTTCCTGATGGGATGAAAAAAAAACCGATTTACGTACCGTTCCTGATAGGGTTCTTAAAGGAACCCTGAAATTAATTCTCATGACGATGCTTTGTTATAATGCGAATGCCGTGATTGATTCACAACGCCTTTCCTAAATATTGATCTTTAAAATAATACAGTACCTTATGGTTCTACCACAAAATCCCGAAAACCATTTTCCCGAAAGAACATAATACCGACTAAATCGGCCAACATTATAACTAATGCCGGCTAACTTTGTCGGTATTAGGTCCATTCGGGAATTTGTCTTCCAGGATTTTATGGTAAACCCGTACTGTGTCTATGTGAAAAAACTTCCATAGGCATTATTCGAGACAAGTAAGCTAATAATTAATTTAGCAAAAGAATTATTAATATTAAATTATGGTTGTATTCGGCTAAATTAAATATTAGCACTCTTTGAATTACATGTCTTAAAATAATTACCATAGGCATTATTTCGCATGAATCAGTAAGAAATTTTGGGTTGAAAAACTTTATTAAATGATTGAATACAAATTTACGTTTTTTTTTGAATTTTATGTTATGTGTTGATCTTATAATCTGGTTGGGCAGTAATAGTTGACTGCCAAATTTTTATTCAATAGCCTTTTATTTCGATAGTAGTTTAATTTTTAGAACCTATCAGGAACGGTGTGTAAATCGGGGGGTTTTTTTTCATCCCATCAGGAACGGTATTTTTGCAAATCCGGAGCATAAATTTTCTTATTTTTATTTATATATTTATTTATTTATTTTAATTTATTTATTTTTTTAGAGTTCAATCGTAATAGCATATCTAGTAGATCGAGGACTTCTTAATTATGACGAAAAAAT